AAAAAATTGGAAACTCTTTGAAATTGAGGCAAAAATATTTGAAGGTAATTATTTTAAAAGGAATGGACAGTTAGTGTAATAATATGAACATATGAATATGTATACCAGTGTTGGTATAGTTCCGGGAGCTAGCTCCGGAGCCGGACTAAGATTTTGAAAACCCCAGAGCCGGAGCCAAGAACTTGAAGTCTTTTGGGAGGATTCGATGAGTTGAGGTTTCGATGAGTTGTATAAGAGCCCAAAGTAGTGGTGGTTGAATGGAGTTTATGGTTCCGAGTTTTATCCAATTATAAGTTTGGAAAATATCACAACAAATAATTAAATAAGTGTTTTTATTTGAAAAATAAATTGCATTTTTTTATTAAATGAAGCTGTATAAATTTTTTAAATTGATTAATTTTAGTCTCTTTTTTTCAAAATTTTTCAAAATTTTCGCCTACGTCGCAAAAAAGGAAGATTTTAGATCCAAATCCCTTTAATCCCTTGACCTTAACCCATCTAAATCACATGATAATCCACACAAATCTCGTTTAATCTATTGATAACCCTCTTAATCCTTTTATATCACTCGATATCCCCCTTTATCTACCCAAATCCCCCAATGAAATATAATTCATTGATTTTCCGCCCGGAGCCCGGAGCCAACATGGAGCGGCTTCGAAAATCGCCGGCTGCGGAGCCGAAGATGGAGCCGGAGCCAAGAATTTGAAACCCCGGAGCCGGAGCCAACAAATGGCAAATACCCAGCACTGATGTATACTACCGTATTTTTCCCATTAGAAGTGAATCCGATTCTATTTTTCAACCTCATTAAAGATTGCGCTTCTAATGGGACGTGCTCTTCTACAGGGAAGCGGACATATTGACACACAGCGAAAAAATAGGTCGGAATTCCGTCCAATAGAATAACAAAAGCAAACTTTTTTGTATACACTCAAATTAACTAATCTTTATAAATAAACAATATAAAACACATAGTAACATTTTACAAAATTTTAGAAATTTTTGAGAAAAAAGATTTTATTGAAAAACTTAAAAAAATCAACTATGGAATTGCATTTTTTGACATTATGGATACTGGAGCACTATTTTTGTTTAATGAATTAAAAATTAAAAGTGTTTTTGCTATTAATAATAATCCTTTGTTGACTTATCAATTTGAATATGTTGGGAAATTAATTTCATATAAAATTCCAGGTTTTAGATTTTCTTTGAAAATTAATGTTGATTTTCTGTTTGTGAACTTTTATTCAAAACGCATATGTAAACTAGGATAGCGCCAAATTATTTACTGTGAATATCATATAATGCCAAAATATGGAAAAATATGGATTTTAAAGACCATTCTATAAACCCTAAAACAAGCCAAAAATATGTTTTTTGTGCATTTCACAGTCAAAGGAATTCAGGAAAAAAAAATATGGATTTCCATATAATTACACAAACTACTTATTAGTAACTTTAAAAGAAAACACTTATCATTAATTCTATAATTTAAAATAAATTTAGAATTTTACTCAACATATATTGACGATTGGAGGATTTATTATTTTGATGAGGCATGTACATCAAATTCTATATATACATCTAAGTTAGCATATAATGAAGATAAAGAGGTATTCGGGAATATTCATTCAAAAATGGTATATTTATTTTATTCTAATTTTACTTAAATAAACTACTCATCTTTTCTTTTATTTTTATTTAAAATTCTCATATTCTTATATACATTTTACAAGTTAAAAATCATATCAAAACATGTAAACTTTTTAGTTGTTACACTTCAAGATTTTAAATTTTGCTAAATTGTTTCGTTTCAAACTTATTTTCGCGATTCTCATAAGACTTTCGCATTTTTAAAACCCGTTTAAGCACGTCCTGATATATAATCTTAATATTTTTAGAACAAATGCTATAAAAAATTGGAAAGTAAATACTACAATTCTCTACAAAAGTTGACAAACGAGGAAAGGGAAAATGAAACATCAACAATTAAAATTCTTTATAAAAACATTAAAGCAATATTTATCAATAGTGATGAATTAATTGATTTTCCATTAAAAGATAGCAAGCCAGATAATTTATATTATGTTGGTGGATTTCATTTGGATAATAAACTCATTAAAATGGTAAGAATAGAATAATTTCTTCTAGAAAATTTAATATTAAAACTAAAAGTAGTAGATTAATAAACATGTTTGAAATGAGTCGAATTAACATATTTTCCACTTATCAACTAACGTTGATCCTGCATTAATATATTAGTAAATGAGAGATTGCTGACAATTATCTAATAAGACATACTAGCCTATTCGTCCCAAGCATTAACTACATACATATATACACAGCATCTTAAAATAGGCAGAGGCTGTTACTCGCCTTTCAGTGCTGTTTCAGCACTATGGTTTCAGTGCCAGGATTTCAGTGCCAGGGTTTCAGTGTGTGCTCTATTTAAGTGAATATGAATTGTATGCAATTATTAAAATGGAATGTTAATCATTTTATTTAACATTTAAAGGCATTTTAAATTAAAATTAATTTTTTCAAAATAGGTTTTTCCCTTTATTTTTCATTTTCTAAATTTAGTTACAAACCCATATGTAACTTTTATAAAACATATGAAAAAACGATAAATTTGGTTTTAAAACAAAGATAAGACTTTGTTTAACGATTTAGTTAAGATAAAATTTTTTTTTCAAAGTTTTTTTTCGAGATAAAACTTCTCGAAGTTGCAACCTCCAAATTTTTAGAAAATAGCACGCGAAAGAAATAGTGGGGAAAAGAAAAAGATACTGTATTTTTATTTTTTCAGTGCCACTGAAACGGCTTAAAGTAACAGGTTAAGATGCTGTGTATATATAACATTTTTCGGGTTTTTTCGGTCTTGGTTTTGGGTAATGTCTTGGTCTTGACTTTTTGAGCTTTAAACACATTTTCTTAACACAAAAGAAAATAAAAAATTGACATTACTGAATAAATTGTTTTGCTCTTGTTGATTTTTGGTCTCTAGTCTCGGGGTCAAGTCTTGGTTTTGGGGTTTAGTCTTGGTACCTAGTCGAGACTTGGAAAATATTGGTTCGACCGTCTCTAACTAAAAGTGAAATTTAATAATTAAGCAACAAAAAATCCAAAAAATTTAACGTTCCAAAGTTATAATAAGCATAGAAAATTGTGGAAGAATTTTTCATGGAGAAGACAGAACGGCAATGATGGTTTTTAATAGAATTTATGAAAAAACGTTGGAATTAATTAATTCAGATAGCAAAATTGGGAAAGTTAATTTTATATATGATTGTCAAATTAAAGAAAATTTGGAAATTGATGCTAGGGAAGAAGGTAGCTTTAAAAATATTGAACATATTAAAAGAGTCGTTGAAAATATAAAATTAAAAATTGAAGAAGTTTTAAAACAAAATAAACAAAAGAAAGAGGAAATTAAGAATTTAAAAGAGGAAATTTTTAATAAAAACGAAGAAATAAAGGAAATTTGGGGTAAAATTTGGGACAATGAATTATTAACAGAAGAGAAGTATTATACAGGGTGACAAAAAAGTAATTGGACACTTTTCTATCCTTTATAACTTTTTTTGTTCGTAACATTTTTAGATGATTCCAAGTTTATTTTGTAGCTCATTTATTTCTCTATCATATTGTAGAATTGAAGATTTTTTGATTAAGGATTAAGAAAGTTACGTAATTTTAGGTACACCATATCAAAATTTTCCCCCCAAAATTTTGATTTCTGTATATCAGAAAGGAGAAGTCCAAACGGGATGATCTCAACAGAATTTAATTAAGACCATTAGCGAACCGGACAAATATGAAAGATGAAAATCCAAACTCCTACATGGATGGCTCTGAATAGATGTAAATCAGTTTTGGGGGGAATGCGATTCTCTCATTTCGGGAGGGTTACGCGCAATCGAATATCTCTTTAGGCGTTAATCTAAAAAATTTTTTGCTTTATAATTTCTATAGATGAAAGACTGCTCTACATGCCAAAAAAATTTTGTGTAATTCCTCCAATCTGTTCTAATGTTATAGGCAAAATGCCTCAAAAAAAGGTGCGACCTGGAGCAATAATTTTTCTCACTTTCCTTTAACCTTATCTCAAAATAGAATAGGAATAATTCTAAAAGATTTTTAAATCTTATTCTTCATTTAATTCTCTATAATTTTATCTTTATTTGATCTCATTATCTTTAATTTAAATAAAGTTATGGCAAAAATAAAGTGTCCAATTACTTTTTTGTCACCCTGTAAATCAAAACTTAGTGACATAAATATAAATAAAAACATAGTAGCAAATTATCAAATCAAGATAAATCTAATAGAAAAAATAAATAATATTGACAAAATGATAGAAGATAAAATGGGTTTAGAAGGTCATAATAATTATAAAGAAATGAATCAACTTTTCAATAATACTAAGGACGCATTAAAAAAACAATTAATAAACAGTAAAGGAAAAATAGAAAAACTTGAGGAATATAAAGAAGAAATAAAGCAACTTGAAAATGAGATGAAAGAAGAAAAAAGTATACAAAATAAAATTCAAGAAATATCAGTTAAAATTTCAAATTACAATAAAGAAATGGAAAAGAAGATAGAAAATAATCAAGTTGTAATTAACCAGATTGACGATAAAATTGAAGAGATTAAAAAATTATTAAAAATAATGAACAAAAAATTGAGGAATTGGAAAACCAAATTTTTTATGAAAGATTTAATGTTCAAAAAATCTTGAACTTAAAAGAAGAATTGGGTAATAAATTTGTTTATTCTGAGAGAATTTAGGTTGAACTCTTAAGAATTCAAAAATAAATGTTTAGGGAAAGTGTTATTATTTCATGATTGCCACATGTTTATTTAACCGTAAGGATTAAAACATACATAACCAACGAATTATGTTCGTCGTAAAACTTATGTCACGATATATTGCTGGGAATCACGGTAACGCTCACTAATGAATTATAACGATATATCAAAAAATAAATCACATGTTATATCTAAATATTTTAGTAAAAGGCACACGATTGTTGATAATGAATTGCAATAGAATTGAGGTGATAGAAGCACTTGTATTCAATGTTGAAATATTTTGTCTGCCTTATAGAGATGACCAATATTATGTTGCTGAGGGTCTAAAATTGAATTACTTTGATGTTCAAAAAGCGAAAATTGGGGAAGATTGGTATGAGTATTGTGTAGAAAAAAGACGCAAATTTAAAACTGCTTTATCATTTGCTGAGAATATGATGTTTAGTGATGACGAGCATATCGACGATCTTCCCCTTGCTATTTCTCTGAGATCTGCAATGTATGATTTCGAAAATAAATTCCAGTTTAATACCAACAAATTGTTTGAATATGGCATCAAAAAAATTCTCAAAGGAACGTAAGTAAATTTTATCTAGTCCTGTTATAACCATATTATGCCTAAGAATTTATATGTTAAAGAATTATTGTAAAGTGGATAATTGCTGACGTGTCCCAAGGACAGAGGTCCCAAGAACAGAAGATCCACAGACAAAAGACTCGGTATCACGACTTTTGCGCCGAGAACATTTGCGCCGCGACTTTTGCGCCGCGACTTATGCGCCGGGCGACTTTTGCGCCGCGACTTGTGCGCCGCGACTTTTGCGCCGGGCGACTTATGCGCCGCGACATTTGCGCCGCCATAATTTAAAAAAATAATATCTATACAGTCGGACCTAATTATAGTGTGCTCCTTAAAAAATGGTATCCAGGAGCTGAAGGAATTTCAGGAAGTACAATATTTCAGGAAGTACCATAGCCCCCTCTAATAAACCGACCCCCTAGAGGAAGGTTGAAAAATAAACCGACCCCCAAGAGGGTTCATCTTCAAAAATCTTGACTTTTTCGGATCAGGATATTTGGTCTGCTACCCTATTCAGGCATGATTTTCTGCCAGAAGAGAGTGCAATATAGTGTAGGGTTGTCGGGTCCAGATATCCGGATCTGAAGAAGGCCGGATAGCCGAATCCGGCCTTTCTATAGTGAGGTCCGGCTTTAGTTTTTCATAATTATTAATGATAGTGGCGGCGCAAAAGTCGTCCGGCGCAAAAGTCGCGGCGCAAAAGTCCCCCGGCGCAAAAGTCGCTCGGCGCAAAAGTCGCGGCGCAAAATTCGCGGCGCAAAAGTCGCGGCGCAAATGTTCACGGCGCAAAAGTCACGGAACCAAAGACTCAGAGATATAGGACCAACAACTGTTTTTCCTTTATTTTTATTCTACATACATTTTGCCGCTAGGTACTTATGTTGTTAGTTAATACGGGAGATGTTGTTCCTAGAAGTTGAAAGTTGTTCCAACAAAATAGAGTTGTTCCAAGAACGGGATATTGACTTAGAAGTTTTTTATTTGAGATTGATTTAGTTAAATGAGGGGTAATTCGTAAGAACTATGATATGAATAAAATAACTGAGGTTTAAGTTAATTTGACATTCCTAAACAAGGTATATACTTCTGAAAATTCATTTTACGAATCCAAACTACTAAATTTTATTTGTGTTTCATTGTCATTTTGTGTAGATTTTGGAGATAGAAAAGATAAAGGCAAAATATTTTTCCTTGTGTCTTTTGTCTGTTAGTCTTGTGTCTCTGTGGGTCATTGGTGGGATATCGAGTGATTATGAGGGGAAATTGAGGGATTATTGAGATATTAGGGGAGAAAATCAACGGATTAATGGTGATATCGAGGGATTAAGGGTGTTATAGGTTGGATTAAAGGAAATAAAGCAATATGCAAAAATTTTATTTTCATAAAATTAGATATACTACAACTTTTAATCAAATTCGCAAAGATTTGTTCAAAAAATGGGATAAGAAACATCCAACTAATTTAATTGTGGAAGTAATTGAAGAAAATACAAAAGGAAAAAATTAAGAAAAAAAAGTACATTCCTGTTACCGGCCCACATTTTTAATTTCTTTCTGCTCCTTCTATTTTTCTAAAATATACAGAACGGTCAAGGTTTTTTCCTCAATTACATTCCTGTATTCTTCTTTATTGCCTTAGAGAACCGGAGTTAAATTGAGGAGGAATGAAAGTTTACCGTTCTGTATATTTTAAGAAAACTAGGAGTGGGAAAAAGAAAATCGAAATATGGGCCGATAACAGGAAAGTCTTAAGAAACAAATTAAAATGCAAAAAAAAAATATTACAAAAAATTAAAAAAGAACAAAAAACACAAAAAACAAAAAAACAAGAAAACAACAAAAAAATTCATTCCATTATACTTTTATTAATTTGTAAATATTTTTGTATGTTTTTAGTGATTGGACATAATATTCTCCAGAATTAATCTAAATTTGTTTAAAATAAATCCGCAGTGTTCAAATTACGGGATTATTCAAATTAGACAAATTATATTTTGTTAAATGTCCAATCACTAATATATTTAAAGTTTAAATGTAGTTTAGGTATAAATGTAAATATACCCAAAATTTTTCCATATTATGTTTGAGCATTAAATAATAGGCCAAACAATTGAAGCAATGTCGTTTATTTCTTTTATTAAAAGAAAAAGCCTTTTATTATTATTCAGATAATTTTTATCGTTGACGAAATTGAAGATTTAAGATTAAAAATATTTTTATATTTTTTATATTTTTGAGGAATTCTGTTTATTTTTTGATGGCGACTCAGTGATTTAGAATTTTTTGTATATTTTTTGCAATGCACTTTATACATATTACATTATTTTTATTATTAGGGCTCGGATTTGTATTGAAATATATTTTTTTCCTGGATATATTATGGCGAGAGAAGCTCAAATATGATATTAGTTTTTAGATATTAGAATTTTGAACGAAGTTACATTTCAATATATTTCAATATTTTGCCAATTTTCCAGTTATTTCAATATTTGGCACATTTTTCAAATTATTTCAATATTTTTGCATATTTTTACCAAAATTTAGGGATTTTTCATAAATTTTAGGAAAAAAGTGAAGAAATCTGGCCGCCTGACAACCAAAAATCTCAAAATTTTTGCCGCGGCGCTAAAAATGGAAAAATTTGGCTTCTTGGTCTTCCAAAATAGTCAGAATTTTCGCCTGCGGCGCTGAAAAGGGGATATTATGGCCTATTATTCACTACAGTACCGTTGCCTTCCCACTAATTATTCCCGAGACATTCTTCGTAACATTCTTCGTAACCTCAAAATGTGCAAAAACCTCAAAATTTGTTGGGCAAAACCTCAAAAATGGCACATTTAGCAAAACCTCCTGAGTCTCCCTGCTCTAGATCCGTTGAATTAATTAAATATTTTTATCGACCTTATGATATAATTTTTTTATTTTTCTAACTTTCATTATTTGAATTAAATGTTAATTTAATTATCTATTATATTATGTAAATATTAAATTAAATTTTTTTATATTTTTTTATTTCTTTCTAAAAATATTTACTTGAAGAGATCAAGAAAATTAATAAATTAATAATAATAAAATCATAAATTTTGTTAAATCTATAAATAAAAATATTAAATTATTATAATTATTTAAATAATTATTCTATTTTATAAATGTCTCATTAGTTGATTTTTTTCTTATTCAATTTATTTAATTTCTAAAATTTTTTTGTAATAATGGCAATAATTCATATGTATACAATATTAAATTTATTAGCTATCAATCTCTTCTTCGCCGTTAAACTTGTTTTCTGTAATTACATAACTAATTTAACATTAGATGGCCAACTAACATTTAAAAAACTGCTGGTTTAATTTTCATTAAATAATTGAACATTATTTAATTTAATATTTATTTTATACCTTTCCATGATTTATTTATTTATTTTTTCTTAATTTTACCAAAAATAGCCAAAAATAAAATTCAAATCTTTATAGGTAAATTTTTTATTCAATTTTTGAAATATAAAGAATAATTAATTTAAACATTCAATGTTGATATAAAAACTTAATTAATTATTAAATTATTTAGTTAACATCAATAGATCTTTGTATTACATAATTAATATCTTTGTTAATCAGGAGCGGACCTCCGCTGTCTCCTTTAGGCAGCCCTTTATAAATTATTTTAATATATTTCTGTATTTTTGTCAGTAATTTTTTTACTTTTTAAATTTAATTAAATTTTAAAAAATAATTTCTTTTATAGAAAAATAATTTTTAAACTGTATTAAAAATTATTTTTATAAAATAGAATATTAAAATATTTTTATAAAATAGAAAATTATTTAAGCTTTTTTAATTTTTTTTATTTCTTTCTATTTATAATTACGTTTCTTGATTTTTAGCCGCAAAATTAATGATAAATAATTTAATAAATCATTTTTAAGTAGAATTTTTTTATTTAAATTTAAAATAATTATTTGATTAATTGGCCTTCCTTTAGAGCTTAATGCAAGAAACTGCTACTACTACATATACATATGTGGTCCTCACAGCACAGCTTCCTTTTTTTATAATTTTAGATCAAATAATTTAAAATTAGTATGTATTATTTGAATTTTTTAATTTTATGCAACGTTTTGTAATTTTATTATATTTTATTTAATTTAATATTTTTTTACTATAAATGTAAAATTAATTAAACGAATATTGTTTATTATATAAAGCATCAAGTAAATGGATGCAGTATACATAATAATAATTTAATTATAACTAAATAGTTTTTAGGATTAGCTATTAATAAAAAAATAATAGAAAAATAAAATAATTTAATTTATATTATCAAATATATTATAGATTTTAATTTGCGAATTTAAAAAATAAAATGCTTTAAAAAAAATTCAACATAGTATGATTATTTTAGAATGAATAACATTTTATTTATCGATAACTAATAAAAAGAAAAAAATAAAATTAATAAAATGAATCATTTTTAATAGATAAAAATAAATAAATTTATTTAGTAATAATTATAATTAATTAATTTTATAGTTATTTTAATTAATATATATTTAAATTCAATAATATCTAAAATTAAATTAAATTGAGTAATTAAAATTTACAATAAGACTAATTAATAAATATTATAAATAATTAAAAAATATAAATAATTAATTATTTAAAATCTATATAACAAGAGTTGTATATAAGTTCATTATGAAAGAATAACTGAACTTCAATTTGACAGACTAGCTGAACGGCTACTATGTAACCACGTATGCATTAGAATATCAAATTATTTTTAATATTTTTTATAATTATTGCTATATAATTTCATAAAATATTATGTATAATTTATTATTATTATAAATAATAAAAATCAGATTTTTAGCAAAACATTGAAAATTTGTGCCGTGAATTGCGATGCAAATAGACAACTATAGTTTTTTCTAAAAAAGAAGTTTATTATTAACGAAGTTTCTTACAGATGTAAAATCTTATATGGTGTAAAATCTTTATCTAT